GCCATGTAGACTCTCCAAAACAAGTGCTGGTATTTGTTGTGGCGGTTAAGGACTTTCTGATGGCATCTTGACTTTGTCTTGGCCCACATATGGTCATTTCTTCAGAGGACACAGTAAGCAAAAGCTTGTTGTCCTTTCTCTGGATGATATTCACTGTGTCCTTCCACTCTTCTGGATTCACTTCCTTGAGAGGAATGATTGAGACATCTGATTTACCCAAGCACTTCTGGACAAGGCATGCGAACTCAGAGAGAGCTTTTTGTGGGTCTCCATCTTTCTGGTCTCCTTGAAATGTCACATTAACTTCTGCCATGATTTTAACTCCATTCTCTTTCTCTATACGCTTAATTTCCTCCTTGTAGATGTGGTTCACGTACCAGAAATGGTTCACAGAACAAGTGCACTGCTCCCCTCCTGCTGCAGAAGCTGCACTAGGCTGCACCATAGGTTGCACCTTCTCCTGAAGAAAATACAATGAACTAACTGAGTAAAAAGCCTTCATTTTCAATGCAATTCATTTCCTGCAGATTCACTACACAGTATACTATCTTGCTCTGACACAGATGAAGGATGAAGCTTTACTGAAGCTTCCTCTGGTGCTTGTGTCCTAACCTTTACCGGTGTAGAAACAGACATTATTTTGACTGTTTTTCCATCTCTTCCCATCAGTTGTTGTCCACTTAGTTTCTGAAGCTCACTCAAGGCTAAAAAAAGAAAAAATAAGACAAACACAAAATTAATATATTTCCAAAAAAATTGATGATAAGAACTATATATATGTCTATATATTCAATTTGTAACTTTCCTACTATACCTGAAGCGGGTTTAAGACTTATCACAGCACTCCCATCTTCTGAGACATTTAACACTTTGCAGTCTCCACGGTATTTGTTGTTGACCCAACTCTGAAGAACTTTCTCCAGTTCAATTTTACATTTCTGCTGTTGAAAACCCTCTGCCCACGTGACTGAGAGAGTGACTTGAACTTCTTCTTTGTTCTATTATAAAGTCATCAGAGCCAGAAAACATGTTACAGTTAATATAAATGCATTACTAATCAAGACAGTAGGTCTGGTTTGAAAATAACTCTCTCTCCAGAATTGTAAAAATAGTAAATAGAAAAGTGAATGACACCACTGTCAACAGAAAAAAAGCTAATCGATTACTTTTTTTTGTCATATTTTGTTTGTGCATGTTCAGCACATGACACTGAGGTCATATTATTTATATGGTATTATAGGTAATGTTTTTTGATGACCTAGTTGTAATGCAATATGTTCATTGAATAGAATATGACTATTTTTTAGTCACTATAAATATTCACACAAAAATACTACAGCTCCCGAACAGTTGTCTTTGAATTTTCTTTTTGTTCAACATTAGTCTGCTGATACAGCTACTCACGTCCATGGGCACCTCTTGGTGGTAGACTGACATTTTGAGTCTCCTTCCTTGAACACAGAGCAAATAATATGAACAGATGACCGCAGTGCGTGTTGTCCCACTGCCAGTTCGAACAACCAACAGTGAATTATTTGATGCATCTTCATGCCAAATGTCAACATTACGTTAAAAAGGAATTGTATCGCTCCACTCCACTTTTGTTTACGGTACGCTAAAGCTACCTATAATGGGTTAGAAGTTCGCCTTCAATCTTTATTTCCTAAATTTGTCACAAACTTTACATCAACTTTTTGAACATACGTACAGCACCTAAAGTATGAATTGTGTGACGCATATGAGTTGACTTACCTTCACCTCGCTCTACACTTCATACGGAGCTTCTTCCTGATAAATGAAAGCGAAAGTATCGTAGCTCCGCGAGACGAGAAGAGTGACGACACCAGAGCCATAGGAAAAAAAAAAAAGATATGGCTTTTTTTTTTTTTTTAAATTTCATATATTTTAAGAAGTTCATAACAAATCTATAAAGGAGCTTCAGCACAGAGAAGATGTCTCAGTTGGTCTGAATCAGATGTCAACCATTGAGGTCGCATATCTAAAAGTGTGGGACAAATAAACGCACCTATCCACTCTAACTACATATCTTAGCATTCAACACAACTGACAGTTAAAGTAAAAAACATTAAAAACATTAATACACTTTTAAAGAAATTGTAGTTATATAGCCTCATAGACATTTATTCTTAATGGCTGCCTCCTATGTTTGAAGTTTCTCTATATCATTTTCCTTTTAAATTCATTTTCTATATTCAGTTATCAGTGGCAAGATCTTTTCACCTACAGTATATCTGTCATATAGATGTATAAGTCATCCACTGTCACAGCAGATTCATTTGCTCTATCACACAATTTAACAAAGAAGGGTTAAAAATATAAACGGTTAAAGACTTGGTATTAAATGCATTAAAAACAATTAATAAAACTGTTCCACAAAAACAAAAAAGTGAGGTGTGCAAAATCTCTATTTTTGTCATACCATCTTTCAACAAACAGCATTGGAACTTATCAAAAATCTTTGCAAATATACACAAAATCAAACATGATATAATTGTGACATCAGTGTAACTAATACATGTCTTGTAAAAAACAAAATCGTATAAAAATGATTTTCAAAAGCAATTTCAAACACAAACATAGCAAGGTGCTGTGAAATATAGAATAACTTCAATGTAAGCCTGTCATAAAACAGAACCCAAAAAACTGCACTTCAGACAAGATACTCTCAGATCTAAAACATTCTTGCACCAAGAAAAGCAAACAAAACAACTAAATATGACTTCATTCTTTCTGGATCTGTTCATCCTTCACTTGCTCCACTCAATCCTAAAACTATTATCTCTTCATATCGTAAAGTAACCTTCAGTCAATACGAACTTTCCCTCTGTCCTTGTCAACTTAGCTACATCAGCCTACTTATCTTATCGATGTATGTGAATATACTGTGCAGTCCAATTCTATACTATATGGTAACACATGGAGAGCCGGGTGAATGCAGGTAAGGCTGCCACGGTGGTACTGTTTGCAGAGGTGGGAAGGAGAAGGCATCATTGTGAGCTGCAGCAGTGGCACAATGCCAGGTTGAGCGGTGACATCATCGTTGTACTTTGACACTAGTGAGCAGAACGACTATTCAGCTTCATCTTTCAGGGTGAACCTGGAATAAATAGAGGAACAAAGACAAATGAAAACTGACTATGAATTAAATCATCAGCAATCAATTAATTTAATGGTCATCATGTAACAATGAAAAAGAAGAAGATGGGAGCACAGTAAAGAGATACTCGGCAGGAACGTCTTGAATTTCTCCTGCATTATAACCAAGTTCTCTGGTATCCATACGTACTATACACTCAATATGTTACAAAGCATCACAGTTCCTTCAAAATAACCTAAATACACTGCTTTGTCCTCCTCAAAGCTCCACAGGAGGCATTGTACTTAGCCACTGTTCAACTGAGCATATGGATGGATAGGGCCAGCCGACAAGGGGTTTATGCTTTTGGAGTAGTTCACATGTCGTCATTAATCCAAGCTGACCACAGCCCCTGTCCTCTTTAAGTGAGGAAACTATGCATTTTTTGCAGCCACCTTTCAATCCGAGTATCACTTTAACAAACTTGCACACAGAATCTGCTCACCATTCTGCGACACCAGAAATCAGGTCAACCTGGGCCAACTCGATCTGCACCTAAAGAATAGGAATGACATGTCAACATCAAGCTGTTCAAACATCTGTGTTGTCATATTTGCAGTATTTCTGCATGTATTCGGTGCACTTCAGAGTGAAAGAATTTAAAAGCTCAAAACAGTTAAAAATCACAAAGCAGCCTAGCATTAGTGCACAGCTTGGCCACATCTGTATAAGTGTGGATTTAACAAAATGATCTCAATGTGTGCTGTGGGGGAGGCACATACAGTACGACACTCTTTGGATACCCTGATGGTCACTTGTTAGCCTTTAGAAGTCTCAGACTGACCTGTCCAATAATGTCGCGGCTCCTGAACGAGGCCGAGTTATTCTTCACTGATACAATGAGGCGTTTGAACCTCGTCTCATCCACAGACAGATCGTACTCAAACCTTAAAAAAAAAAAACGACAAAGATGATTCAATGTGAACACTAACAAAGCTCTTAAGAGATTGATCAAAAAACAGCACAGGAATGTAATAATAATACAATTAGCTAATTATTTAATTACCTCTCATTGTATTCTGGGTTGAGGTCTCTTTTCTTCACGGCCGTCTTCCTCTTGGTGGCCTTGCTTTTGTCTGGCAGCAGCATGAGGGACACATAGCTGTCTACTCCGTCCTTACTTTGAGACAACAGACCTCTGTACACAGAAAGAGAACGCATATCTTAAATAACTGTGTTGAACCGTAAGAATATTTCAAAGTCCCAGTATATGAGAGCAATATAGTGCCTCTTTGCAAACTAGAGCTGTAATCCACAATGTCCTCCACTGTTTGTTAAGAGGTAGGTTCATAGACCCTTCTCCAATGTTACTATAAACATAAATGAATATCTGGGAAATAAACTTGATATATGGAAAAAACGACCTTCACAAAGCCTCAGATACCTGAAATATCAACGGTCTGTCATTGGTGAGAACACAAGCCGACTAAAGCACACTATTTGAGGAAGCACACCTGCAGGCATGGACGATGACGATGAGATGTCTCTCCTGCGAGGCGTAAGAAAGAGACAACTTCACCTGCCCAGATCCAGAGGCAGCACACGGCAGAGTCCCTGCACTGATCATATCCACCATTTTGGAATGGAGAACCTATTGAACAGGAAGAACAAGTGTCATTGTTAATTTATTGTTATGTATTACTATACATGTGTGTGTGTGTGTGTGTGTGTGTGTGTGGGCAGATGTGTTTGTCACCTTGAGATCAGCCCTCAGCAGGATCTGACTCTCAGGTGCAGCTCCATCCAGATGGAACCACTGGTCCAGGACCAGTTGTGGCTCTGCAAGCAGCTCCTTCACAGGAATCACCAGTGATCCCATTGGCTGGTCCCAACCACTGGACAACTGCAATGCAAGAAAGAAAGGGACTGAAAAAATCACTACATTAGTGCTGTGAAATGTGAGATGCAGAGTAAATGTAAATAAATGTCTTGCCTTTACTACAAGCATCTGATGTTTCGGGTCATGGACCAGGAAGTAGAAACACTCATTCCACTGAGGATTGGTGCTGCGCTCACACAGCTGAAAAGATGATGAAAATATGTGATAGAGTTGTTACAAAAATAATGTATCGATCAGACTGACAATAGAGCAACATGCATCAAAAGTCTCACTTTGGTTTTGTAGGTTGTTTCACCCAAAACAAGTTCAGCTCCTGCTTTGGGTTCCTTTCCACTCTTCTTCAACTATCAACAGAGAGAGAGGCATTCAAGTTTTATCATATGAGAAATCATTTGTTTATTGCATAGTATGTAAATAAACTAGAGGGGACTTACAGGTAATGAATGTGCTCTCGCCAAGTGGACAAAAAGTAGAGCAGCGGAGGGGACAGCTTTGTTTTGATAAGACTGGAGAGATTGAAGCTCCAGGACCTGTGACATGGAGTAAAGCCAGGAAGGACGTAGATGATTATTTGCAACGTGCAATGTGTCCTGCGTGTTGTAATGTGACAAGATAGCATTATCTAGGAGGCTGCCTTGCTATGGACACTTAAATAGTGCTTGTTTAAAGAGTGTCAGATTAAACAGTGGGTGATAGGGCGGTAAACACAAGTAAGGACTGACCTCGTCAAGTCTGACTGAATTTGACACTGTAGGAACCCATTCCAGAATCAAGTGGACCCGGCCAGACTTCACATCATTCAGAGTGTACCACTACAACAGAGAGAAAGTCATTTAAAGAAACAGGGCAACGCCATTTACAGGTATGTAAGCAAATGACACAGAACAGAGTTAAGAAATCCCATGGCACGGCTTCAGATCATGAGTTATTGACTAACCTGATCTGTGTACTGGGATCTGATGACCTCATTTAGCTTAATACTGAATCTGTGAACATGAAAACAGGCAAATGATTAACAAGATGGCTTACTTCCAGAAATGAAGATTCCCTATGTTGATAGAACTTAATGAAAACTGAAGAAAATAAATCAACCCCATGGATTAATAAAGATAATCTCCAGGTATTTGTAAATACCCCTCCTGTAAATATTTCATAATATATATATATATATATAACATATATACATAATATAAATCCACCCACATCAAATATTAAGTCTATGTTGATGATTGGCAGCTGCTGGACCCCACTGTGAATGGCTATTGCCTTTCAGTGCAAAATGATGTAAAGTCAGAGGCGTATCTCTGTAATAATTCTTATCATGCAGATCAGTGCACTCAGTATTTCTACACTTCTTATCTAAAGTACTTAAATAAGTGACTGATTAACCAACAATAAGACACATACCTGCCAAGGAAGTCGTCAGCATCTAAATCCTTATCAAATGCTTCAAACTTGATCTCCTGAACGCTGCGCCCACTCAAAACCAGCTGTTAAAAACAAACAAAACACATTTTTGTCCAAAATACTGTACATGCATTGAAATCCAGACAATATGCAAAGCTTAAACTGAGAATACTTCATACCTCATACATTTCCTTCCATGTTGGGTTCAGATTCTCCTTGATGACATGACTTTTAAATGTAACTCCCCCGATGTTGATCTTGACATAGGGGTCGCTCTTGCCCTTCACCATGCCCCCCATCAGGTTATCCTTGGCAACCAGATTCTGGGCCTCCAGCAGGTGAATCCTCAGCAGCCCCTGCAGGAAGAGGACTGTAAATGTTACAAAGCATAAGGTGAATCACTGAACACACAACATAGTAGCTTGGTAATGTGACTCTACTGTATACACATTAAAGAGCAACCCAGATTGCTGCACCTTGCTGTACACTGCGAAAGGAAGTGTTTTCTTATTGTTTCAAATAATACAATTATACAGAAAAATCAAAAAGGGGCAGTGACGAAGAACAAATACAAGAGTTCCACTCGGCTAATCAAGGCATGAACACACCTCTTCACCAAAGTCCTGGCTGGGGGTTGTGTGTGGTTGAAGAACTTCTGTGACCTCTGCTGGCCCCAGGGTGTCAGTGGGAAGACTAGTCACTGTGGCTTGAGCAAGGTTGCCTAAACCAGTACTACACAGACACGGTGCAGAAATGAAAACATGTTTCTTATTAGGTCCATTATAAATAATATATTTATGGATCTTTGACCCAACATTTAAGGGTAAAAGATTCATATTTTCTTATTTGCTGTGATGTGGAGCTCACCCCGCTGTTTGCATTTTCTGCGGTTCAAAGTCTTCTTCAACTGCTGTGTCCGACTGTGTGGGATGCTCTTCTGGATCTGTTGGCTCCTCCACCAGCTGAGCACAATTACATGAAGGTTATGAAGGTGTAAATAGACTGGTTAAACATGATAACAACTGACTATAATGCGCTATGACTCACTGCAGCAGCAGGGAATGTATCAAGCGCAGTGTGAATGGCAGCTGGTTCAGCGGGAGCAGCATCTTCTGCGGAGGCCGCAGCATCTTCTGCTTCAGAGTATTTAAACGGGCTGGATACGGCAATCGATCTGAAAATACACACCGCTGTTACAAAACACCACAGCCAGACTCCTGACTGGAACTAACAACGGAGAATATTAGCTTTTATAGAAGCATATTCGCTTGTACATCTGACCGAAAGCCAGGCACTACATTTTTTATTTCATGTTTATGTCTGAAGAGTTTTATGTGTATTATTAAACCAGGTACACAACACTCACTCATCTTCTGTCAGCTCTGAGCTTGTTTTGTCCTCACTGGCTGTGGAAACAACCGTGTCTTCCTTCTTTGAACCAGTCGCAGAAGGCTGTGGAGCCTCAGTCATCCTTGAGCTCAGGACCTGTCAACACCACATTTGCTGTTGGCTATTCTGTGTATCCATGACAATGGTAACAATGCCCTGTGTGTGCGTCCTCTCTTACCTTGAGTTCAGCCCTCAGTAAGATCTCACTTTCAGGTAAGGCTCCATCCAGAGGCAGCCACTGGTCCAGGACCAGCTGTGGTTCAGAGAGCAGCTCTCTCACAGAGACTACAATAGATCCCATTGGCTGGTCCCACGCGCTCGACAACTACAGAGATAAGGACGGATGAATAATGCCGGTCAGAGCGGGAGATGTTCCTGACACTCGCAGCAGTCTTTAGCTACTTTTGTAGAGTATACTCACTTTTATTATGAGCATCTCCTCTCTAGGGTTGCGAACCAGGAAGTGGAACGCCTCATCCCACTGAGGTGATCTGGAGCGATCACATACCTTCAGATAAAAAAAAAAGAAAAAAGAGGAGGGGTAAGTTGGGCAAGGGGTTGTTCTTTGTTTGTACAGTTATTGTAATCTGATTAAGTTGTTACTTCTCTTCTTCTCTTGCCACTGGTATTTTAAACAGCCTAATAAAGGTATTGACAAGTATTACTGTCAAGCCTTATGTCTTTTTCAATACCACCAGTGGGGGGCGGCAATGTCTACATTTTTCAAACTTTAAACATAGTACCCGTTAGTCATCTATCCCATAAAATGTTGAACTATTTGCCAACAAACTGGTTAGGTTTCTTGGAAATTATGATGGGGACTTCATAATGACATTTTATCAATTAATGATTAACAGAAATATTAATTAGTTGCAGTCTATGCTGGTACAGCAAAAGTGTGGGTTTGTTTAATGTCTTTTATCATCAGTCTCATACCTTGGTTTTGTAGGTTGTTTTACCAAAGACAAGCTCGGCTCCAGCCTTGGGCTCCTTTCCACTTTTCTTAAACTGAACACAGAAAAACATATATGTGACATTATGTGAGTAGTTTGTGTTCTCTCACTGTAATTACGGCAACAACCGTTAGAGTCAACTTCCCTTTTAAAAGTATGAAACATTCCTGAATAATTGCATCACATAGTCCAACAACAGTGACTGCTGCGCAGGACTTTTTAATCCAGTGAAGACAAAAACATCATCCTAAAGAGTAGGAGTTTTTCACTTCATGCCAATAGAGCATCTGTTCATAAACATGTGCTTTCCAAATAGCTGACCATCTATAACTCTGAGAGAGCACACTGTTATAGTGTTCTTCAGTACTAAATTACAAGGGACTCACAGGCAATGAGTGTGCTCTGTCAACATAAACAAAGAGCAGGGCTGCAGAGGGAACAGTCTTGTCCTGGTAAGACTGGAGAGACTGCACATGCATCACCTGCAGCAGAGAAACACATGCAAAATACATTAAAATGACTCAGAACTGATGTGCATGGTGAAATAAACAGGGTATCATTATGGAATAGAACTGATGTGGGAAGAATAGGCAACACTATGGACAATGATTATAGATATATGCGTGAATAAGGAGATAAAACAAATAATAAAAACTGCACTAACTTGGTCCAGGGTGTCATTATGCGACACTGCTGGTACCCACTCCAGTATCAGGCGAACGCGTCCAGACTTCACGTCATTTAGGGTGTACCACTGAAACAGAGAGGGACACTTACTGAATTAAAGCCATTGATGACACCGCAGCAATGATATTGTAAGGCAATACGGACCTGGTCTGTGTACTGGGAACAGATGATGTCTGCCACACTGATTTTGTATCTGCTCAGAATGAAAATGAAGTCAGACCCTTTATTTGCACTAAAATGTTAAATCTAAATTATAAATATTTTCTAATGCTGTGAAAGGTTTGTTTACATAAGAAATGGTAGTAAACACAGAAGAAATAAAACTAGGATGACTTGATAAACACCAAACGCTGATTTCTCCATAACTCAACCCAGGCAGAAATATACCTGTCATTTATGCTTATGGTGAAATAACTACAGTTTGAGCGTGTACATGTTGGCCCACTGAATACCATGCTGAGGCAATAAAGCGTTCCAGTCATGGGCAACTAGAAACCTCCACATTAGCCCTTACCTGCCCAGGAAGTCATCTTTGTCCATGTCTTTGTCATACAGCTCTACTTGCACCTCTTGTCCTGCCTGAGGCCTCAGCACCACCTTAGAAAACACAAGAGTTAAAACAGGTAAATCAGCAAAAAACGAGGTGGATAGCTTCAAGTTTTATCATTGCAATCCTATTTGAAATCATGCTCAGAGCAGATCAGACTGTCACTTCATACACACCTCATACATCTCATTCCAGACTGGGTTGAGATTCTCCTTGATCACATGACTCTTAAACGCAACTCCCTCCAACAACGTGACCCTTATCTTGGCATACGGGTCACTCTTGCCCTTCACCATACCACCCATCATGTTATCTTTGGCAACCAGACTTTGGGCCTCCAACAGGACGATTCTCAGCAGCCCCTACAGGAAGGGATCATTAAACTGTATATTGCTAGTTTTTTTGTATTAAATGTGATTGCGTCATGCCGTGGTACATGTATCTGCTCCTGTAGATCACTATTTTGTGATAGTACCTCACTGGCAAAGCTGAGGTCTGGGGAAGTATGAGGAGGTTGTACTATTGCAGAGCTTGGTAGTTCTTCCACCTTCTCTTCAGTCACAACAGCTGCTGTTTCCTTTACATCAACATCTTCATGTGAGGTCACTGAGGAGACAATAGTCTCCACACGAGGAACGTCCACTGAACTTGACCTAAAACCCAAAAAGTAGCAATAAAAAAATGTAAGTGATAAAAGGGCCAATGGAAAGTATGGACAGACTTTTTTAATTAACTATCTCACCTAAGCACTGTGTCTATTTCCTGTTTTCTTGGAGCCGGGGAAGGGTCTGATGCTGAAGTGACAATGGCCTTATCAGTGGTACCCGGACATTTGCTGGGAATCAGCATCTGCAGTTGAGTCAAAATTGTTATTATAATTTTGATTGTATATATCAATATCAGTAGAAATACAAAATGAACGAACTGCCTCAAAAGCCTCATGACAAAGAAATAAAAGATACAGAGACATATAAATAAGAAAGAAACAGCAAAAACATGATCCAGATAGTTACACTGAGTAAAAATAAAATATAGAAAATACAGAGAAAAATAAATGAGAGAAAGGGACTTAAAGTAAAAGTGATAAAGAGATAGAGATAAAGAAACCTAATGGATATTTACAAAATATTTAAAATAATTGAAATAGAGAAAATGTCAGGGCAACTACCTTGAGTTCAGCCTTCAGAAGAACCTGACTCTCAGGTGAGGCTCCATCCAAATGGAACCACTGGTCCAGGACCAGCTCCGGTTCAGAGAGCAGCTCTCTGATAGGAACCACCAGGGAACCAATGGGCAAGGTCCAGCTGTGGGAGAGCTGGAGAAACACAATGCAGGGTGTTAGCATAGGTAGTATTTATATATCCCACTCTATTTACATCCGTATGACCGACACTCTTTCTGTTCCACTTTGATTGTGCACTGTAGTGAGTGTACCTTAGCAACAAGAATATCTTTTCTGGGGTCTCGAACCAAGAAGCAGAATGCTTCATTCCACTGAGGTGATGTGGTACGATCACACACCTACAGAGATGCAAGAGACAGTTCATATTACTGACAGATCTCATGCCAAATCTTACGAAAGTACCTTAAAACATAGTAATATCAATTCCAAGCAAAATTAAGTTTGCGGTCTTACTGTTGTTTTGCGGGACATTTCTCCAAGAGTAACCTCTGCCCCTACTTTTGGCTCCTTACCGCTCTTCTTAACCTTTAGAGAGACAAACAGGCAATAACAATAGAAGCATGTGTATTCTAAACAATAACTGCAGATCCTGACATCACCCTTAACATCAGTAGAAAAAGACTCACTGGTAAGCCATCCGCTTGCCCCATGAAGACAAACAGTAGGCCTGCTGAGGGAACCGCCTTATTTTGGTAGGACTGCCTGGAATAGAACTGAAGGACCTGAAGACACAGAAAGAACCAGTGAGTATGGATCAAATTTACCAGCAAATGGCCCATCAATCCATGTCTAGTCTGGGAATACCAACCTGGTCCAATCTGTCTGACTCTGAGGCTGTCATTACCCATTCCAGTATCAGGTGAACTCGACCAGACTTCACATCACTGAGCGTGTACCACTGAGAGAAGAATTTCAAAATTGTTAACACAGGAAAAAGGTTACAGATGTATATCTAGTGGATTAAGGGTCTTATCAAAGTGAGTTGGACCCGTGATATGGCAGGCTTTCATGTTCGCTTATTCTGACCGCACTCTTTGAGGCTAAACATGCAGCAATGTGTCTGGAAAGGAAGATCCCACCTGATCAGTGAACTGTGAATTGATGATGTCCTTCAGACTGATCTTCAGCCTGCATGTTGGGATATGTGAGATTAGAATTTATCTCTAAAGCCATACATTTTATTTCACAATATGATTATTTGTCGCTCTTTTACCTGCCCATGAAATCATCCTTCATGTCCATGTCTTTATCAAACACCTCCATGTGCAGGTCTTGGCCAGGCAGCTGGGTGAGAATCACCTGAGGGGTGCACAAATGTTGCAAATGTAAAAGGACTGAAACCAATTTACAAATGCATGCGAACTTCGGCCACTTTTTCTTTTCAACAAAACTGTTAACTTTCAATAAATAACCATGTGTTATTTACCTCATACATCTCATTCCACGTGGGGTTAAGATTACTCTTGATAACCTGACTTGTGAATGTTTCGCCCCCGATGTTAATCTTGACATAGGGGTCACTCTTGCCTTTTACCATGCCTCCCATTAGGTTATCTTTCGGAACAAGGTTCTGTCCTGCCAACAGGTGAATTCTAAGCAGTCCCTGAAAAAACAATTGCAAACACATTATAATAAGCATGTGCAATTTCAGAAAACACAACCCTAAAGTCAAAATCATAAGTGTAATGTCCTCCATTACCTCTGTGGCAAAGCTAGGATGAGGGGAGGTCTGCTGGGGCAGCTGTCTGGACATTCCAGACTCCAGATTAGATGACGCATCAGATGGAATACGTTCCTCATCTAACCACAGGACCTATGTTACAAAAGAAAAGAGAAGAGACCGCTAAAATACACAGTTGGGACACCATTATACATTATATCATATTCTATGATTAATAACCTCCAATATTGTGCTTGTTTATTTTACTCTTTGGTCATTAATTGGTCTAATGCAGTGAAGCATTAGTGAATAGGTCTTGTTGCTATTTACCCTTAGAACTGTTTTGATATAGACGCGACTGGCAGATCCAGAGTTGTCCAACTGGAACCACTGGTCCAGAGACAGATTAGAATTGGACAGCAGACGGGACAACGGGATGGTCAGACTGCCCAATGTCTGCACGCGGTCAGCGTCCTTCACCTGGTTTATTTAACATGGAGGAAAGCCAAAATAAGACCAAAAGAAGTTTGGCTATCAGAATACCAAACACAAAGTTCAGTGCAGAGAAGCTAATCTGTTCAGCCGTTACCTGAATGTCTATGTCCTGCTTGCGAGGATCCTGGATGAAGAAGGTAAAAGCTTCCTCCCACTCTGGATTATTGGTTGTGTAGCAAGTCTGAAGACAAGAATAAAGTGTGTGTACAAAATAGAAATAAATGAAACATAATCTATAGTGTTATAATGTTTTTTTTCCAATAGATATACCTTGCTCTCTCTGGTGATGTCCTGCACAGACAACTGCACCATGGGATTGGGCTCTTTATATCCCTTCTTCATCTAAAAGATACACAGTTAAGACAAATATGAATAGACAGCAAGGCATGTGAACAGCAGCATACCGTAACCAAGAGCAGAGCAATAAATAGACTTTATCCTACACCCTGACAACATGTGGTTGATGTGATTAATAGTGTGCAAAGGGGTTATCATAGCAACAGCACAAATAACTGATAGGAAGTACCACACAGCATGGTACAATCAGGAAGTATAAGCCTGCATCGACAGAAACCACAAAGACAGAGTTTCATTCCAAAGATTCTGTCACTACTGTTCCCTTTTGTACGTATATGAATCGACACAGTAGGAAGTGAGCGTTTAACAGCCTTGGACAAAGTTAGCCACACTCAGCCACACTGAAATGGAGGGCACGGCAACAACTTCGTGGAATGTCATGACAGCTGGCATTTACAGCTCTGCCCCAGTTTAACCACACACAGGAAGCAGCTCTGCGCAGAGCACGAACATGGGCAGAGAGGGTAGAGCTATTTGACTCACAGGAAGTGCCTCAGCCTTGTCCAGATATACAACCAAGATGGCTGAGGAAGGTGGATCGGCAGTCTTACTGGTGATGCTTTCATTCCTCTTTATGATCTGAGGGAGAATTGCAAACAGGTGATTCTAGAGTACAAGGGATTTTTGTTAATGCATCGGAGCAATGCATTAGTTGAATGAGTGTGAGTGAGTCAAACCTGCTCTAGTCGATCAGTGCTGGGCAGCAAGGACAACCACTCCAGTTTGAAATGAACCCGTCCCGACGGAGTTTCTTTCAAAGTGAACCACTGGGAAGACAGCCACAGGCATACGTTAACAATCCAAAGATTTAAAAAAAAAAAATGCTAATTCAAACTGTGACTGAGACGATAATAGCTGTTACTTACATCATTGACGACTATGGATTTCTTCACAATGCCCAAATCCAATTTGGTCCTATATGGAAGAGGAGTGTAAGACAGAAATAAATAAAAAGAAGAAGAAAATGTATCGCTAAAAACAACAAGGATTACAGCACAGAAAGCAGATGGTGGAACTTTGCTTCATAAAGAGGTGGTGTACTTTTTCCAACTGGCCAGGAAAGATGACAAGTGAAAGGTGACAATGCTAAATTGAACATAGGCACACAAGAGACATGAATGTGCATATGTACCTGCCCAGGAAATCATCCTGGTCTGTGTCTTTGTCATATACCTCCACCTCCAACTCTTGACCAGGCACTTCATGGACTATAACCTGATGTACCAGACACACACAAGGACATGAAGACTGACAAGAGGGATTTGTATGGAAGCTGGCTGCGCCCTCATGCGCCCATGAATGAAAATGAGCATTCCTAGCGCTGTCAGTCTAATCCCTCAGAAGAAAGTGAAATGATACATGATTGAGTCTGTGCAAAGATGACACAAATATGAATCTTTCCATTAAACCTTTCATTCTTTTTACCTCATAAATCTCTTCCCACTTGGGAGAGTCTGTGTTGTCAATGTGTTTGGAGGTGAAGGTCTGAGGGCCAACCCTCAATATGGCATAGGGGTCAGACAAGCCAGCCATAACCCCTTTCACGTAGCTGTCCTTGGCTGCTAGATTCTGTGCCTCCAGTAGGTAGATGCGTACCACACCCTTAGAAATAAAGGGGGGGGGGGGGGACCAAGATGTAATGTACTGGTGTTGATGAGATGTGGAAATTATATAATAGTCTTCCTCTATCTGTTGGTGCATTTTTAGGCTTTTACCCTGGGCAAAGGAGAGCGTAGTTCGGCCACATGCAGGTCTGGAACCAGGGGGACAACCAGGCGGTTGGGCAGCACCAAGAAGGAGGCAATGGCGTCCATAATCATGCTGTCAGACATGACACTGAGACAAAGAAACAGCATTTTAATGGAAATGTACTGCTGTATTGACTTTATCATCTACTATTCACCGTGTAGTAAAACATCAATACAAATATTGTGAAGTTGGGTGTATTATAAGGTTGTGGCTATAACCAATGTGTAAACCAATGGAAGTTGAAATGAAATGAAAATTTCAGCATGACTCACTTCAGTCCAGGGATGTCCAACAAATTAGTCATTCCAGTCCAATTGATGTCTAGTTTCTGGTAAGAGATAACACAGAGGAATGTGCTGTATATAGCAAATCAATCAGGTTAGATGTGAAATCAATAGCATGAGAAGCATATGAGACTCTATCGAGCTACATGATGTTCACAGGACAAAAAGAGGTCAATGTAGATGGACGTACAGGCCGCTGGATGAAAAACATGGTGACCGCACCCACTATGGGCACATCTCCAATCAGGGGCTCCAAAATCACCCGCATCATCCCATGTAGCTGAGGACAGAGGAGCACGACAGATGTTTGTGGAACAACATGGATAAACGCTGACAGAGTGGCACTTTGTCTGTATAATTCAGTTATCCATTTAGACAGGCAACATCTTTGTATTAATGACTCTGTGATTCAATCGAATACTATTTTTAACCTTGAAGAGAAAACTGACCTGTATTCCTTTGACTCCAGCTTTGCAGAAGTATCTCTTCACCTCAACGTCGATCTCTACATTGCCAACATAGCTGAGGATACAATGAAGAACACAATGTCATCGACAGTACGGCCTTTTAAAAGTTGTGGTACCAAGGTGATGGTGTTCCCGAATCCAAGGAACAATGGATAAACATTCACCTAATATACAGATCTAGCAGAACTTGTCCTTTGTCATTCTCCGTGTGTGCCTTGATCCCGACAACCTTCATGGCCTGCAGCAAACAGAAAACACATTTTCAGCACAATAAAAACTACATGCATCATTTGTGTGAATTTTTACGGCAGTGTCATATTATACTTGAGCTATCAGTGGCATTACCTTGTCTCCCATATCCACTTTTGTAAAGCTGAGGGTTTGGAGGTGGGCACTTGAGGCTCGGATAGATGGAGCAATGGTTTCCACCAGCAGCTTCTCAAGGTATTGGCCAACAAATGGCCACACCTGCTGCAGCACCTAGGCAGGCCAACAAGGACGTGGTTATAAGCTGCTCTTATTGGTAAGACGCAAACCATGATATGCACTGTACATCCCTGCAACCAGAGACTACTTCTTTAAGAGCACTTTGGCATTAAGCCACACTGTCGTAAAAACGGTCTTCCAAATGCCACAGCTTCCGTAAGCAATAACCAAAGAATGACAAGAGACAGCTGTTGCCAGTAGTCTACTTTGAGTCCTTCCATACACCACAATGAATCCTTTGCTCTTCATGTGTTCATGTGTTACACAATGTTAATGTTGCTACGTAAACATGTTCAGTTGTTAAGTCTTTATTCTTTTGGTGAAAGAACCAAAAGCAGAGGCAACTGTGACTGTGGAAAAAAAAAAAGAAGAAAAAAACCAGAGTTGGTTTCAGCCTCGCATAAGTGGAGAGTGAGTCATCAGCTGCCTGCTCCTGGGAGGGATGCAGCCTGAGCAACAAGGGAATCTGCTGACCTCCCGTTCAGTAAGCAGTCTCAAATCACTGCTTTGTCTGGCTCTCTGACGCTTAGATCTCGTGGTTCCGTCAGCATGAGTATTTTTGTTACTGTATTATCTTCATTAGATTGTCTGAGCTACAAAAAGCAAAAGGGGGTGGGGGGAGAACAATGGCTGCCGCTTTATTAAGTTTGGGGGCTGGGAAGCTCCTCCTTCCTGTGAGCTAGCCTGTAAAATGAAATGGAAATGTTGAGAGGGTTTGCCTGGCACTGGGCCTGCTCTCTGCAGAACAGACAGAGTGGCTACACTAATGGGGGTGTGGCCTTTTCTGGAACATGGCAGCAACAGCAGCAGTGCTACCAGCTATTAGCCTAGCATGCTGCACAGAGGGTCAAGCAGCACAACAGCTGAACAGACAGACGTGCGTTTGCACGATATTTTACCTTATTCAGCCACTCAACCTTCTCAACATCTGGAAAGCTGACCTGAAGGAAATAAAGACAATGAGTGCACATACTTAAATTATGCATAGGGCCCGCTAAACACACAACAGGATAGGGAAATGATTCAGTCGTAGCTTATTCAGTTCAGGAAATGTCATCAATAGCACCGTTGGTATTATCCCGGTGCTTTTTGCACCAGGTTTTAGACTGTATAACTATTACCAAAAGAAAAAAGAAAAGCAGATAAGTGCAGCAACTCTCAAGATAACATTGAATGACACAGCTTGCTGTTGTGTGTGGTTTATCTTTCACGAGGGACAAAACTTTTATAAAATGAGTGTGCAAACTCAAGAAAATCCTAACACGTGGCCACAAATGGCCCTTTTTTGAAAATAATACTTTAATGAGGAGTATAGGCATGCTGTCTTGTTATGCAAGCTGAACTGAAATCACTCAACGAAAACAAGTATCCACAGGAACCTTATTTGGGTGTGGCCAGATGTTCTGTGTCAAAACAGGCCCATGTGGGTTTCAGCGTTTCCATTTTGGGTACATGTACTCTCAGGATGTACAACTTGAAAATCAAAGATATTATACTTCATGCACAACTTCGTGACACATTTAGTTCATATTGGTTTGAGTGTTGTTCCTGTTTTGGTTTTTGCTATACACTCAGAATTGCATCATTATACTTTCAAACAAGTTTAGTCTAGAAAGCAGAATCTGGCAACTGTCTGGCATGGCAGAAATAATTGGGGGAACAAAGCACTTAATTTAGCCGAAAGGGACGTTTGCACACCTGGTTGCGTGTTTCATTTAACTGCATATTTTATCGGTAACCTGTATCTTAATGTTGTAATATTACGAGTGTAGGGTCACTGCTACGTTTTGTCTTGCTATACGTAATTTAAGGTGATTCTAGGTCAGCATGGGTTCAGGACGGATAGTGGAAAGCTGATGTAAAGGGAATCGTGTTGATAGATGACATTAGACACACGCTGACAGTTGTAGGGTCTTTCCTTACCCACGCCGGGAGGCCTCGCTTGCCTTTGGACACTTTCATGGACGTGTACTCCTCCTCGTTGTTGAGCAGCTGCATGGCTGACCTCAGGCGCGTCTCCTTGGCTTCTCGGGCATGTTTCCATCCCGTGTAGATCATCATCCCGAACACCAACAGGCTGGTGCTGACCCGGTAGTAACCGGCCAGGTAGACGGGCAGCAAAGCGCCCAGACATTTCCCAAACGTCCAGAGCACCGCGACCGCACTTATCCCTTTCGGCTTGAGACCGTCCGTCTCCACGACGCTCAGCGCTTTCTTCTCCGGGTCGCCTGTGCTCGCACACTCGGCGCTCTTGGCCTCACTCGGCTCGGCTTTGTCACTTTGCATTCTGGTATCCTCTAGAAAACGATCACTAATGTGTTACCGTTGGATACACAATATTTAAGAGTTTGAAAAAGGATTTAATAACGGTTAATTAAGTTAGTCTGACGCCAGATTCGTAACGTCAGTTAGCGCCAGTTTGAACTAAACGCACCGCTGTACGCCGCTTGTAACGTTACCGTTAGTTCACCGTTGGTCCGTGTCGCATCTTGAATACTTTGTCGTTGAATTGGAGCAGTGTTAACTGACGAAGCACGGGTCCCGAAACAGTGTCAGACAATGTCTCCCCCCTCACAAGGTCCCGTTATCTGGATGAAAACACGCCCACTCTCTGGAGCAAAAAAACCGCATCTTTGACTCTTTCGCTACTGCGGCAAGACACTCATCCAATGTGTAGTCATTACTGCAGCATTATGTTACCGAAAAGCGAGATTCTCCACTTACTTATTCAAATACAACTTAAACTGTACCAGTGGGACAATGCATAATATATCAAATACCTCACTTCTTCCTGTCAAGTCGTTAACCCACCAGCACCCCTGGTCAGTGGTCTTTCTGCTGCTCCAGTCTATTCTAAAAACAGCCGAGTGGACATTCTCCTCGATCCCTTAGATCCGGTGAGACCGCACAAGCACCAGGCCATGATTCCCATTGTACACCAACACCACACACTCCACTTGTTTAAAGAGCCACACGGATATGAGGCTACTGGAGAAGCAACGGGTATTATATTCAAGTTTACACAGTGTGACTCCACCCAAACAACTCCAGCAATGGGGATGTAAACATGAGCATTTTACCCGAGTATATACAAGTAAATGTGAACTGAAGAGGGCAGCTGTTAAAAAAAAAAAAAAAATTAAAACAAAGTGACAGATAACGCAGGAGTCATTGTTGAGTTGGTTATTATTTTTGTAAATTGACACCAGAGCAATCCACAACAATGTCAACACAAACTGCTTCCAAAATCGTCATGTCCCCACAAGGACTGCAAAGCAGTGTTGCAGAAATGGTTCAAACAATATGGATGACCTCATACATTTTCAATTTATCTGCAGGCGTTTGAAAAGATCTCTTTCATACCAAACTGTTCACAGGTAAGTCAAGTCTGTATGAAAAAAAGTCTTTGTAATGTTTCCACACAACACAGACTGAGGGGAGTCTTCATATCGCCCCCTGGTGGAGAGGTACAAGTGTCTACTACTTCTGTCATCAGTTCAGTACCCTACACATAAAAGAAGGCCATCTATGTTAAAAATCACAGTTAAGGATGCTACAGTCCTGCCTTTAATCAGTTAATGAGGCAGAGTGGTGATTCTCATGCTTTGACTCGCGATGGGGTACGACACCATCGGGGTGGTGGCATGACTCATGGTGATGCCGGGCATGGGCTGCGTCATGGACACTGCCACCGGAGCCACAGATACAGCCACTGTCGCCATAGAAACAGGTGGCGCCATCCCTTGGGCAATGGTCTGTGCAAGAGCGGCGGAGAGCGGGGTGATCTCAGGGTTGAGGTGAGGCAGAGGGGCTGGAGGCGGGGCAGCGTTACTCTGGGCAGCCGAAGGGGCGCCGGTAGATGCTACCAGGTCGTGCTGGATGAGAGACCGAGGTTGCAGTCCGGCGCTGCTCAGGGTGGTGTGAGTCTGAGCAATGCTATGATTGTAGGAACTTATTGCACCCAAGGGGGGCACCAGAATCTGCTCAGTGGGTGCAGGAGTGGAAGACATCGTCATCACCTTGGCCTGGCTTCGGAACTGGGCGTTCTGCTCCAGAAGAACCTCATTTGTGGCAATGAGATTTGAAACCTGAGACACACACGAGACATGGATTAGAAAAGGACTGGGCTCAGGGAAAGTCCACTGGCAGAAACCTTGGCTTTGTGTCCGGCAGAAAGAAAGTTCTTATAAGATGATACTTCTAAACCATATAGCTACTTTAAGTCAAAAATAATTGTTTAGACAGCCATCATTTCTTTACCGTGATCACAGCTTTTGCAGTTGCTGATTCTGCAAGTTTGTGCAGAATGATTAAGCACCCTTTACTCTTTAAGGTGTGTGTGTGTCTTATGATGTCACAGAATGTCTTTTCCTATTTTTAAATGTGCCCAAATATATTCATTGTGGTTTTAGTCGGGTGACTGAAGGTCAGCTGCTCCTCGACCTTAAAACGGGAGTTTCAGAGACTTAAACTACATTGTTTTACTTGGAAAAATGACTTAAACAATAAATAGTTTACTAATATAGTTTCTGGTGACAGACTAATGGATATATTGACGAATTGTTTCAGCTCTACTTCACACTTCTGGCCCTAATAGCAAGTTTTGTTCAGTTCCTTTTTTCCATTTCATCTCTCCAAGATGTTCACTTGATATGCTGGTCTTCAGAGGCTGTGGGAACTTTAGATGAGAAGTCTTGTGTTGGATCACAAGGATTTCTTTGTTAAAATCACCTCTCAGCTCCTCAAAAAAAAACTTTACTTTGCATGTGATTTGTCAGTGAGCTATAATAAAACTGTCCTTGTGACGAAAGTTAAATTTGACACTATGTTATAAAATAGTCCTTTCACATGACACGATCATGATTCATTCAGTAAAGTTACATTTGACAATATATTTCAATCCGATACAACGGCCTGCGATAAATTCCTTTGTTGTTGTTTGTTGTTAAGACTATGACTTTGTTAACATACTGTATTGCACTACATTATGTAGTCAAATGTGTTATTTTTGCACACCATTGTATCTGGTATTAGTTGTACAAAAAGCTGAATTAGCATTTCAACAAAATTATTTTTAGATTTGAATGAAACACAAGTGCTATTAATGTAAGAAAGGCCTACCAAAATGTTAGTTTTCGACCATCTCTCATTCTGACCTGCTTCTTTAACTCCTCTACTCTCCTCCTCAGTAGGGAGTTCTCCTCCTCCAGGAACCTGAACTCCAGAGAGCGTGGTTGCAAGGTGGCTTGAACTCCCAGCTCGTAGTGCGCACCTCCGCTCACATCAGCTAGGCGCAGCCCCTCCAACCGCCGCCTCTTCAAGTGTAGAGCCGTGTGGTCCATGGAGGCCTCTAGGGAGCTTGCATCAAACAGCCCGCTTTCCAGCAGAGGGTCATACACTGAGCATGAGCTCCTGTCAAAGCGCCGTGGCCCTGTAGAACCTATGGACAGACAAGTACTCATCCCACCTCCACCTACCCCCCCGACTCCTGGGACACCTGGATCTCTGCAACCAGCCAGGCTGGGGCAACCCATCCCCATCCCCATCCCCATCATGTTACTTCCACCTCCACCTCCCACAAGTCCTTGCATTCCTCCACAGGCACCTGCTCCTCCCCCACCTATCCCTCCCCCAGCATTCACCATTCCACTGGTACCTGGCCCTATAACACCACCCACTCCAACCCCGGATGGCTCATATTCATAGTCTTTTTGGACATGGCGAAATTTACACTTATTACCCCTCTGGCACTCCCCCTTCAGGAAGTCTCTGCAGATAGGGACTTCCCCACGGCTGTGGGGGAGATCCATTGGGGACAGGCCCAGTCGTGCTGCAACTTTCCCTCTTAGTCTGAGGGGTAGCTCTCCTGTTTTCTTGTAATAGTCCTCATCATCTTTAGATCCATGGACAAAGCGGCAGCTGGAGCGCATACACTCCTTGTTCTGGTGGTCATGACAGAAGACAAATTCATTCTTTTGCACTCCCAAGTCCGGCACCTCATTAAAGTCCGGGTGTCTAAAGCGGCAGCGCTTTCCTCTCTTGCAGACATTGCGTATGAAGTCCCTGCAGACACCGCCCACTTCCAGTCCTGCACCTTGCCCCCCACCTCCACTGTTCCCACTGCTGTTGCCATTTCCGAGCGCCCCTCCACCCCCCATGCTCCCAGAGCCAGAGAGGTTGCCCCCGAGACTTCCTCCTGAACCACCTCTGCCCTCCGCCGTGGCCCCTGCCAAACTAGATCCAGGTCCTCCTTCCTCACCCAGACTACCACCACTCCCACCGCCACCTGACAGGTAGGAGCTGTCCCGGTCAGGCATAACGCTTGGCCCAGCTCAAGGAGAAAACAGCACTCATGTGTGGGAGGGGGGCAGACATGACCTGCCAAACATTCACATACAGAGTTAAACAAGTCATGAATAGATTTTCCTTGGAGTAGTGCAATTTCCAATTCAAAGATCTGCAAGACAAAAACATAGTTTAGATATTAGCTTTCCAAGTCACGTTACAGGAGAATATGACAGATCCTGGAGGAGCATGTGTGGTTCAACTGGACATGGCTGGCTTTGGCTGAAATGTTAGACTAGTTTGTGATGAGCCAGGCAAGTGCAGAATCAATCACCGGCTATTGCCGCACAATGCATGCCGGTTCGATTTTTGTCCAACTTGATCTCATATTGCTCTGACATCATGCACAAGTGTGTAACTAAAGCCTCATAAGATAGAGGCAGCCGCAGTTTATAGAGCAAGGCGCTGCAGTTGCTCTACACCTACTGCAAGACCCAGGGCATGATGGGAAATGCCTGGTCAAAGAGCTGATTTGCCCTTGGTTTTGACAACAAACACTATGTTTTATAGAAAATTATAATCATCTATGTAGATGTAATATTCACCACTAGATTGTTTGCTATTAGTCTCATGCTGTGCAATGAGGGTAAATATTGTGTGGTTGATCATAACAATAAAGGTTATTCATATAGCAGCAATGACAATGTGCTTTACAAGGTAAAGAATAAAATATACATTTCCACATATGTCATTACAAATTATCCAAACGTGGTCTGCAAACTACAGGTAGCCTAACTATGACATCTAACAGGATGTAACTATTTCCATAACTTCCTGTCTATCTTTGAAGCTTAGTGGAAACTGTCTGACTTGACAGCTGCTTTTTAATCATCGCCCTCTGCTGCTGCCCCCTCCCGATATCGTACACTTCTTTTGTGAGTCGCAGTTCATCTCCATCTAGCCTTTTAGCACGTGACACAACCTGGTAAATAATAAGTAACGTCAGCATTGTTGTTGTTGTTGCCACTGGTTTGGTGAAAAAGACGAAACATTGGATTCACACCATGCGACGCTCCATTGTACAGCGTAACGTTAGCTGTCAGTAAATAAAGAGCACTCGTATCATGTAACGTTAGCCTACCTAAATAAGTAGCTAAGCCTTCCCATTTAAGACTTACACTAGCTAGCGAATGCTATCTAGCTAACTGGCTAAATGCTAAAGTAGTCTTACCAAATATAAACTAGAAACAGGATCCAGACATTAGCCGAGGGACTCCCACGCAGAAACGCCCTGCTCTCGTTCACTGAAATGTATATGGCTGCAACGTTAACCAGACGTGTTTTATGGCAATTCCTCACAGCCCTGGTCTGTTTACTACATTATTGCATATTTTACTACCAACGAAGAAGACGCTCTTCCTCTCCGTTTCCTCCAGGTGTCACCTTAGTGCTCTTCCGCCATCTGGCGGCGATAATGCGGCATTGCACTGAAGTATGATCAACTTAAAAAGTTGAAAAGGTTTTCATCGTATACAGAGGTAGCCTTATCGCGAAACGACGGCGAGCTAAGACAAACAACAGCTGCATGTTAACAGCATTTCATTTGATACACTTTCACCACCACGTTTAGTTGGGCTGAAATATGCGGAACATGTTTAAATCTCAAAGGTGTCAGCTGGGTTAAGTTGACTATCCGTGTGTGCGCCTTGGGGTGTGGACAGAGTCGCAGCACACGCTGACGTGTAGACAGCAGATAGCCTTAATAACAACATGAGTTGTCAAACCGCAAGACAGCTGTAGCCCACTTCCAGAGAACGTCTTTGTGTAACAGTTCCTCGTCTGTGCTCAGAAGCCCAGCATGGCAGCGCAAGGTGTTTTCCGCTGGATGCAAGCCTACGTGGTCATGCTGTACTGCTTCACCGAAGCCCTGTCCGCCGCCTCAGAGTCCAGCAGAAGTTACTACGCTACTCTCAGTGTTGAGCCATCAGCAAGTGACAGCCACATTAAGAAAGCTTTCCGCAAGCTGGCCATAAAATACCACCCAGATAAGAACAAGAGCGCCGATGCAGAGAAGACTTTCGGAGAGATTGCTGAAGGTAAAACATTACCATAACCTTTTTTTTTATATTGTAATCTATTTTGTATATGTAATTTACACAAGTGACATTGATTGCACCACTTCTAAAACAGATGTTTTTTTTATTCTCCTGATTATAGTCAGCTGCTCACAGCTAATACTGATGCCGTCTAAATCAACTTCCATGAAGGTGTTTACTGTTATTATCGAGGCTGTAGTTTGTGGTATTGCAGGATTATCAGACTGTATACCAGATGAACTTTTCATTGTGCTCCACGAAAGATGAAGTAATTCCCCTGTGTCCTCCTCCCTAGCCTACAGAGTGCTCTCCAACAAGGAGAAGAGGAAGCTGTACGACTTTGTGGGCCACGAGGCTTTTCTAAATGACGAGGCCTCTGTTGACCAGGACCATGAACATGAGACAATGAGCTTCCACTTTGGTTTTGAAGACCTCTTCGATGATAGTCCCTTTGTGGAGGAGCCATTCCTCCACTGGACCTTTGCTCAGGATGGGGAGGATGAGAATGGTCTATATAACCATTACGGCGTAGAAGACAATGGCCACAGCTTTTATTTTGCAGATGATGAAGAAGAAGAAGATGAGTACTACTACTAGATGTTTAGCACCTTTGACCCTGTATCCTGTGTCTGTTTTAGTGTACTGACTTTTTAAAAAAAATAATAATAAAGCCTCCATATTGTTTTCACAGTATCTGTGTCTTGTATTCAGTTTGTAGAAATTCAGCTAAATAGATATTTAATGTGTTTTTAAAGCGCTGCATCGACAGGCACGTGGCTCTGAACTGCTTACGGCTATTCCTCTGTTAAACAATCACTCATCTTCACACCGCGCACCCAGTTACAAAACAAAGGGGATTGAGTATTTTTAAATTGTGGAATAGTTTGCCAATAAATATGACATCTTTCGCCTCCATCGATACCTTTTAAGCCCATGTCTTTTCTTTAGCCTTTTAATTATCATAATGAAGACATGCTTGACCACGCGCTGGTTTTGATCTGTTAGTATTTTATTTTGTTGTTTGAGCTATGATTCCATCAAGACATTCTATGCCTTGATTCATTTAGTTGTATACTCTTATTGTTGTCTGTGTTTTTATTTGATCATTCCAGTGTTTTATTTAATCTCTTTGTAAAGCGCGTTGGTCAACGTTTGTTGTTTTTGAATTTGCTCTATAAGTAAACTTGTCTTGACAAAGGAAGCTGTGTGTGTTCTGCCTCTTGTATGAGAAACCTTGTAAGTTTAATGTTTGAGGTTGTAAGCTTGACAGATGGGGGAACCAATCGGACTGCTGGGCCACTTTTCCTGTGTGGGTGTGTCGAAGGTCCTGAGTTACTGACTAACACACAATTTACTCATCTTTCTTTTCCCCTGTGCCAGCACTTTAGATCTGGCACTGTTTTACTCCATTTCTCACAGGATTGTGCACTTTGACCCAGAGGATATCCTGTGCCTTCTCAGCAGTTGGAGCGTGAGCGCACTAAAGCCAACACCAGACCAAAGATCTTTACAGCTTGATGCACTTTTATCGAGATAAACGGAGATTTAAGCATTCTACAAAGCAGATAAAAGACATACTGGAATCATTAACTTACAGGCTTCACAATGATGGTAAGTATGCCTGAAAACCTTCTTTTTTGACAGTCTCTGAGAGTCATGTGACTTTTTCTCTATGGAGACATTCAGATTTACAGCATGGGCTGTAAGTGAAGTTTTTAATTCCCTTTGACTTTGGCTTGCCTACTAATGTGAATTTACTTCCAGCTGTTGATAAAAATTGTTTGTCACATTTAATTACAGGAAGAAGTAAACGAAGTGAACTCTTCTCTGAGTGTCCATGGTCATAACATCAAGGTTACAGAGGTGTTGAAAGACGGGGACACACTTACCTTCCTAGTTGTATCTCAAAAGGTGAGTTTGCTGCAAGCTACATTAGCTCTAGATTAATGCAGAAAACCAGTTGATGTGTTTGAATTATGGTATTGCAAAAACAGACTCTGATGACATGTTGTCTGTCGTCCGTGCCAGCTGTCTGGGACAGGGGAGTACCATGTGGACCGGACCTATGATGATTTTGAATGGCTGCAGCAGCACCTGTTCTCTCAGGAGGATGTGCCCGGGATACAGGGAGTCATAGTCAGTGCTTCATTTCATCTGCCCACTGTCCCTTATTTCACTTGTAAACTTCTTCATACTTTTCTGACAATAACAAGACGCTTATAGTACTGGAATATCTATATGTGGAGTCTGTGAAGATGCAAAGCAAAATGTGGATTCTGTTGAAAATGTCCTTTTGGAAGCATGCTGCTTTATGTTATCTTTCTTTCCCCAAACCGTACAATATAATTTGAGCTAAACTGCAGACTTTGTTAACACAAGTACATAAAAGTATGTGTTCTTGTAACACAGTGCTTTTGTAACTGAGAAAAATCACAAATCAAAATGTTTTCTTCATACAATGACTTAAAAACATGGTTAGAAAAGGTGCTACAGCCAGCCAAGTTATGTGGAGCAGTTTGCGTCTCTTAACATGCTCCTCCTTTCATTCTTAACCAGGAAGCTACTTTTAGAGCTGCCATTCTGCCAGCTGGCCCAGTACTGTTGGAAAATAAGCCACAGCTTTGTGGTTTGATTGGATTCTTGCAACAGCATCCTATCAAGAAGTATTTTTTGTAGACTACCTCCTAGTATGACCGTGTGTGCAGTGGGCCTGTGTTTGTCATGTATATAAGATCACGCTGTGTCTGATGCAGGGCATAAAGTCTGCATACTGTAAATCCAAGCACTGCACGTTTCAAACGGAATTAACCTTATTTATGTTCCTCTCCCAAGCCAGGCACCTAATTAAAAAAAAGTTTTGTTTTGGGGAAAAAACAATAGAATAAATCTTGCTTTGACAAACAATATCAAGTAATACAACCATGCTCTGTTTTTCTTCCAGTTTCCTTCTCTTCCTGCAAAGCCTCAGGTGAATGCATCTGCCAAGGTTATGAAACAGCTTGGTGAGTGCATCTGACACCACCTCCATCAAATAGAAAGTTAGATTTGAAAGTAAAATTAACCAATTGTAGTCTCCACTCCAGTGTCTATTCTGTTGCATCGTCTGTTGAGTGTGATACGAAGTGATGGTGATGATACGAATGTTGATGCTTTCCCTGCAGGTTTCCTTGGTTTAGGAGAGTGGCTGCCATACTGTAAAGCACTGGAAAGCTTCCTCCGGCAGATTGCTGCACACAGCATACTCGGCAAAAATAAAGCTGTGGAGATCTTACTGACCAGCTCAGACGTAAGTGGACACAAATGAACAGCCTGCTTTTTTTTAATTCTCTTTTTAACGATTAGAATTTCATGTCACAAAAGGGTGCAACGTGATACCTTTTTACGAGAGAGGCAGATAATAAATCGTTAGACTTTCCCCGACATTGTTTCAGAAGACAAAATGGAACGTTTCATGTGACAAATATAGTGTCCTCCCCATATAGAGAGAGGACTGAAGGCAGGTTTCTGCCTGTAGTCTCGTACCAGAACTAATGATTCATTCAGAATGATCCTCTGGACACTTTTAGAGGAGCCTTTTGTATGTGGGCCTGTAATCAGTGTGGACTTTAAAGACGGCAGAGCCTGAAGTGGGATGCAGATGTAGCGGAACTTTTGTCTGTAGATAAACAAATGGAAGAACAAAACATTAAACAAGCTGGTGAAGTGTCACAAAATGAGTGCATCAAAAGCGACCAAGTACAAACTCTCAACCTGCTTGATGTGCCTGCAAATAGCATCAAGAGGGTGAAAGAAGATCTCACTTGATGCTTGAATCATGAAAACACATGCTAATTGTTGCCATACATTTTTGTTTTAAAGGTATTCCTGTTGTCAGACTAGATGAGATAAGATGGATAAGATATACTTTTGATGTCTCCATAGGGAAAATGTTGTGAACTCAGTCCTGCAGTTCTAGAAGATGCAATCATACAACAGCACAAAGCTTCCATGTAACAGTTTGCACATACACGTACACAAACCTTCTGACAATGTCGACATTTTGTACAACCCTCATGGCCGACATCCTACATTACCTATATACACAGTATTGATGAGGAATAGTAAGGTATAACACTATTAAGAGTAAATCATAAGGATAAAAGTGTCTCTTTACAAAGCAATGTATGATTTGAACTCTGTATCATGAACGTAATACAAACACATGTATGTATGCAGCCACACACACACACACACACACACACACACAGTAATACGGCCTCTTCACTGTATAAAAGTCAGAGTTTGTGTCAGTGTTGGACGTGTCTCAAGTCCTGCTGATGTGACGGGTTCTATACACGTCCTTTCCTGTCTGATGAGTTCCATCGAATCTGGAATGCTATTTATCGGGCATCAGCAGCTTTTATAGTGACATGGGTCAAAAAACATCCTTGACTCATTTTTTTTCATATACTGTACATACTGTGCTTGAAAAATGTTGAAGCTTATGTGTGTCTGTGGCTCTAGCCTCCAGGCAGACAGAGAGTAAAGAAAAACATTTTCAACCGGCTGAGTCAAGCTGTGGAAGAACGGAGGAAAGAAGGCCATAAGGTACACAACCGGGACTCATACGAACAGGCTTGACAGCCTCTACGCCTCTATGTTAGGTTTTACTATCGTAATGTCTGTGTCTGCAGGATGTGGATGAGTTCTTTCAAACTGAACGCGATCGTAACCTTGTTCTAACCGGCTGTGCCAAGACTGCAGCTGAGGTGAGCCAGTTGGTTTTACCTGTTGGTTTTGTGTCTGTGTGTATTTTGTGTCCTCCTCCCTTTTATCTTCTCACACACACCCAGAGACATTGTTCCTGTTTGATTGTTGCACTTTTATTTTTCTTGTAGAGATTCCTAGATGTGGTGCAATCTGAGCAAAGTAAGAACACTTCATTTACATTTTCGGAGACAAGAAGTGCTTATCGTTTGGCGTTATTTAGGATTTGTTTGTGTTTTGTTTCAACAGTTAAAACCTATGGGAGGATATGTAGTGTATTAGTGTTTATTGACATTGCAACGCAAATTCTTTCTGTCCCAAGTCTGATGTTCGAGTTTGCTCCATGTGCATTTGATTTGCAGAAATAGCAGTGGCCTGTGGGCACTTCTCAGCTTCTCTGCATCTCTGTGTGGAACCAGGGGAGGATCCTGACAAACAGGCTTTCTCTAAGTGAGACAGTAATATCATTGATCCAAGGCCAAAAATCACATGTTCTTAAAATGAATGCGTACAAGTTACAATAAATAAGCATGATAAGAAAAAAAAAAAACCTTCTTCTTCTTACAGGGTTTGTGTGAAATTATCAGAAGTCTTTGATTCTATGAAGGTAAGTTGTTTGAGCTTTTTTAACAAGAATATATTTACATTGCAACGCACCATGGGGTTGGCAAATACACTGCACATAATGTGCTTGTGTGTGGGCAGAAAAATATGACAAGTGTTGCTGAGAACAACATGAACACTCTTGGGCTCGGCCTGGACATGGAGTCACGCTGCCAGGAGGCAGAAAAGGTGTGTCTTCTTGTTCTAAAGTCAAAGAAGTGTGAAATGCCACAATGAAACCTCTGATGATTATCATGTCCAAAACAGGAGATGCTCTTCAGGAGAACCTGTAAACTAGTGGAGCTAGAGACCGCCAGAAGGAATGCAGAGAAGGCCAAACCTTTAAAGAAGGCTGCTGTGAGTGCCTGTACTCGAGTATCACAATGAACAAACTGCTAGATCAGATGTGCATGCTTTCTTGTGGCCAGCAGGTGTCAGTGACGCTCTGCTGAGTTCATTCAGTAGTAGCCATGGAACCTGGACAGCTGTCGAGAGGATGTCCATTGCAGGTTTAATCTGTATGAAGTATATAACGATGATTAACATCATGCTCCCCCTAATCATCAGATGGAGGAGGCGAAGAAAGAGGCGGAGACAGAGTTTGATCACATATGTGGAGTGGCTAAACAGGAGGTAAAACATCAAATTGGATTCTCCGTTTCCACATGGCTTACCCGTGGCAAGGGCATTGTGTAACATCCTTTTTGTTGACATTCACATACTGTGTTTTTCCCAGGTTGCTCGGTTCAAGGCTGCACGCGTGGAGATGCTGCAGCAGGCTCTGGTTCAGTGGTGCGAGAAGCAGCTTCTTACAGCCAAAGAAAGTGCTGACCAGTTTAACCAGCACCTGCAAGCCTTCAGGGGGATGGCCTAGTGAACCCACTCTTAATGAAGCATGCTCAGTATGTCTAAACATAGCATGGGATAACCCAAACATGTCCTTCACGCTGCTGTGCCATGGTCTGATGCTTCAGTGGATCCAGTGTAAATAAGGAAATGTAATTGAAAGAGAATGGGGAAACCTTACTGATAATCAAACAGCTCGATAATTTGTACGCTCCCTCGGTCTGTCTTCAATCACACTCCACCATTAAAGCCCCTGTAGAAATGAGGGGTTTTGATTTCTTAGCGGTAGACTTGTAGTCGGGCGAGGCCATTGTGTGTGTATTTGTTCTATTCTCCACTCATACGTTTGTGCTGAGAGTGTATTGTGCTGCTCTCCAGCCACCACATCAGCCAGGGTCACACAGAATAAAGTGTGATGAATTGATTCCCAAAGTACCTGCTTGCCTTTGTGTGTGTTTCTTACTCCTGGATCATTAATCAGTTGGTTTGACTGCTCCGGCAAGGACGTGGCAACAAGGACGATCTGTGTCGGCTTTTTGAAACTATTCTGGCTTTTTAAATATCTGTTAACGATTCTCCTTACAATCGTTGTGTTTCCCATGTGATCGTATGAAACCTGTAGTGAGGTCTGGCGTAAAACTAACTAGAATAAAACTATGGCGGACTTAGCTGAAACAAATTCTACACATAAGCACAATGCCCCCCCCCCCCCCTTCTGTGTCTGCTGCGGGCTGTAGGTCCATATCTCAGCACTGCTGTGCGCTTCCTCTCATCTGTTCTGGCCTGTAATGTCTCCGTTGGGTGAAGGAGGAGTGAATCCCATTTGAGGGAATGAGTCAGAGAGAGATAGATGACTGGTCTCATAAGACGAGAGGGTGGAGAGGAAGTTTGGCTTTTTTGATGATGAAGGACTAGATTAGTGCAATCATGCCATGGAGCGCCCATCCAAACAGAATGAATTCATGGATGGAATATTTTGGTATGACCTTAGAGCTGCCTGCTCTGAGCAATGGATGGCACATGTTGTCCTTCCTTTGGGACAAATGTTTCATGAACTTTTTAGCTCATATCATTTCTATACCTGTATCCTCCATCCTCACAACTACTGCCAGCACTCAGCCTGGCATACAATCATACAATGTTGCCAAACAACAAATAAATGTGTTTCATTTTGTATTTTATCTATTATTAATAAAAAAGAGACTCTCTTGTTTATGTGGTCTTGGTCCTAGAAAAATACACAGATATAGAGTTGAAAAGTCGACGGCTCTGTGCTTCATGTTTACAATGACAACGCAAACATGCTGGTATAATGTTGACCACATTGACCATCTTAGCCTCAAATCATTATCAATTTTGAAAGCATTTAAAGTATTTCAGTATTTCCTCCTGGAAGCACTAAAGGAAAAGAGGATCACCAAAGTCATTAGTATCCATCCTCTGGGAACCATGAATGTTTATGCAGAATTTCATCGCAATGCCATATTATACCAACAATTGCCACATAATACCATATTGCATATATTTCAGTCTGGTGGACAGGCACATCAAGAAAGTTCTGTACTTGTAAATGTGTAAAAAAATGCACAAAAAATCTAAAGTCCAAAGCATGCATGCTAACGCTGTAGTCTTAAACTGTTAAAAACAAACAAAAGATAGCTGTTGTAGGAACCTGCTTTCTTTTAGTGCAAGTTGAACCAGAGCAGCTTGAGCTTTTTACCAAAAATAAAGCAAATTTAATGTTTATTTCAGATCTTTGTACCCCATTTTGTCTTGTTTAAGTAGCAACAAAAAGACATTCACTCTCCTTAAAGTGCACACATTTATTGATCATTAATCCAGCAATTTCACCATTTAGGTATTGTACTTTTTGTGGTTCATTGGTTTTAATGAGGTGCAGTAAAAGTTAAATGTAAGAAGTTTATGGACCATTTTTATGATTCTGTACTTTCAATTTTTTACGTTATCTTCCCGAGAGGAGCACTGTGATACAAAACTGTGAGATGTGTGGGATGATGAACAAAAGGCATTATGCTGTACTTACAGTCAGCAACATCAAATGGAAATCTATGTATTTTTTCACAGGATTCTCTTTATTGTAACATTATTCTCTTTGTTATTATCTGGAGCTGTGATGCTTCCATCCCTGCTGCTTGTAACTGCACAATACCGGAAGAATTTCACAACAGGAAAGCAACATGTCTGGTGTTTTCATTTTGGGACGGCAGCAGTTAACTATCGCACATAATGAGTGCACACACGCCCACACACACACTAATAAGAGCTCTTCTCTACTGCTGAGAGCATGACCCAGATCAAGGGTGGAGAGATCATGGCAACGCTCTGTGTGTGTGTGCATCCAATCGACAACATCCACTAAGCACTGATTTGCTAAAGTAGCTCATTACTGGTGGAAAAGCAGCACTCAGCACACCGCCCTGTGGCCTGACAGAGAGCGTCTTAGTGCCAAGTGAAGGCAATCATTTGTCTGAATACACAGTGTGACAAAAGCCTTATGACTCAGCCGTCACAACCACATCAGTTTGATGAGTATGAAAAAAAGAAATTAAGCCAGGCCACAGTCGATTAGCAGTTTTTAATCAGTGTTTACAAAGGAGGTCTTTTATTGTTGCTTCCACATTTTCTGGTGTCTTGAGTTAGAAATCTGCACTTGGTGATATATACGTATATATATATGTTGCTGCAGTAAATTAATGAATTCATCTTTTGTAACATAAGTCACAAGAATTGTCATGGGCATGTTTTATCTTGACAAAAATTCAAAAGTGAAATAGGATATTGTTGGATGAGATTATTCATACTTGTTCATCTGGTCATTAAATGTACAAAGGCTGAACTTTGATTCCTGATAAATCCAGAGTTAATAACCAGGATTTAATGCAAAAACAAATTCAACATTCATGGGATATTTGTTAATTTGTTTCATACAACTACTGCATGTGTTAGCCATAATAAATCATAAATCCTGTCTTGTCTTTCCCTGGCTGGTTCCCCCTTCAGACGTCTACATTGCTCTTCTCCATCTTCACAGCCAGCTTTGATATCTTTGAGATTCTCCCACTCCTGGGAAGCTGCAAGGACTACATTTGACTACAGAATGCTAAAAGCTTTCAACTTTTCAATCGAAACTTGACATCCCGGCCAATTACATGGGTCTTGAAATATAAAAAATGAAAAACAAACTTTGAGAGCGTTGATTTTTTAACAACTTGTGTGGTGCTTCTGTCATAAGGTCCGAATCTCTGTCACAAATGAGTGAGACTGTTGCAGCTGAGTTGAGTCAACCCAAGGTTGTTGGGCACCTCATTAAATCGAATCACTGCCGTACGCAGATTACGACTCATTCAAAGTTTGTAGGATGGAGAATAAAGCAGGAGGAGAGGGAGAAAAAGAGATGGATGCCATAATGCAGATGCCCTAACCATCTGTAGTTTATACAGCTTCATAAGGCACAGCCCATTCTGAATGTGCAGCACGGCACAAGGTGAATGCTACAAAATAGTCTCTCTGCTCTAAAATCAACCTTAATGGCAGCACTCCACCGATGATTTGGATAGTGTTTACTGTATCAATTTTCTCCCCCTTGCAGTGGATTATAGCATTGCAAAGCATTAGACTTGCTAATTTACTCCATTTCTCTGTTCACTACTGAATGGATCCATAAATATTAATACGTTCACACTCCCCTCCCGGCTGCTTGTCATGCACTGAAGGGATTGCGGGTGATGGTATGAAAGTGTTAATGAGGTTTGCAGGAATAATGTCAGCAGCGAACCTCTCGACAGGCTGACATGCTGAGGTGATGACTTTCCTGCCATTCTTAATACACAACAGTGTTCTCTGAAAATACCACAACATTGAAAACACTAACAGGAGACATGCGGTGGGGAGAAAAAACTGTCCATCGCCTGATTTCACAACATAATTATTCCTTTTTTTTCCTCACATCAACCCAAGAAATATCAAAGAAGGAAACACATCTGAGAAATAGTCATTATGTTTTGTCACTCAAAGGTTACAGTACAGTGAATGTGAACAAGTACAGAATCCAGAGCTCACATGCCCACACAGATACAAATGCACCCATTAGAGTAAGATCAATTATTCATCAATTTTTCCACCACAGCTTTGACTAGAGTACCAGGACACGCAGTCAGTGCTCTCCACTTCCAGAGGTCATTTTGTCACATGTCTTCAACATGTGGCCTTTTGTTCGGTCTCCATCACCAACAGCTTAACCTACAGCACACTGTGTGCTGCATTGCATGACACGTGGTTACTTTTAAATACTATTGTAGCAACAGTTGTTCTGCATGACCACTGCAACGTGGCAGAGGTGAAACAATCTGCCACATGGTACATTTTCTGTTTTCCGCAACTGGAAGGAAAGGTCTGTGTTTTGGAAAATCAATGAGGTCTAAGAAGAGACTCTGAACTTTATGTTTTCTGTCATCATACTTGAACTAAAGAAGATGGCCTAGTGATCTGAGTAGGAGGGTTTGTGTTATCTTTGCTGTTCTGCACAACGAAAGCAAGTTTATTTTTGGCTTGATTTGTTGTATTGTTAAATCTTTGATGAAAATGTTTTCAATGTAAATCTATTGATTTGTTTTTACAGTTTTTTCAATGCATTTATCTACCCATCAGCTACTTTACTGTGCCTCTGGAGCTACACAGGATTCACAGTTTGGTTCAAGGACACCGCAGCGGGGTGATGCTTGCTGCCAAACTAGGGGCTCAAACCAGGGCCTGTAGTTGAAGGACAGACTCTCTGCTCAGTATTTTTCCAAACAAACATACAAGGGCAAAGTAACCAGATGGAAAGTCATCCCTGCCCAGGCGGCAAACAGAGGTTGAGCATCTGTTGCAGGGATGTATCCAAGCCCACTCCGGAGCTCAAGACAAGTCCCGCCTCACCTTTCCTGCTGCTGTTACCTCTGACTCCAGACTTGGCAAAGAAATACAGACGGGATCTCAAATGCCCCCTGGATACTGCTATTAAATTTCACTTTGAGATAATGCAAGCTAAAGTCTCATTAAATCCCAGTCAGAGATAATGCATGGTAAACTTCCATTATGGTTTCATTAGAAGGCACGGGGCCTGCCGTCGTGCTGATTGTGTTTTTAATCAGATCCTTCCTGCTGCAGAGCAAACAAGAGCGAAGAGGAGGGGAAAAAAGAAGGAACAACGCAGAACAAGCTGAGCAAGCAGAAACTATTTTTCTTACTCTGAAGACACTGGTAAAATTGTTGTGTATTGTTCTTGGCACAATGAAAGTATATGAAGGTGAATTTTAAATGCAATTGTTTCTCAGTGTTATTACTGTGTGACTGCAGAAAGGAATAATTTGGTGGAACACAAACTGACGAAGAAGCAAAAAGAGCTTTGCATCGGGTTTAATGCCTCAAGTGCTTTCAAAAGAAAAATGTAATTTTTGTATTTTTTTTTACACTCTTATAAGAGCCGCGGTTTTAGTTCTCAGGTGCATTCTTAATCAGCAACATCACATTAATCATTTAAAAACCATTGTTTAATATTAATTAATAGCTCATTTAGTCTAAAAGACCCGTTAGTCTGTTTTTAAACTGAACACATGTAATACAATAAAATACAATGTTATTGAAAGCTAAGGTATGTAATGTATTTTATAATTTCTTTGTTTGTTGAAATTCTCTTTGCATCGTGACAGCCATCATTAGATCGAAAAGAAAAAAGGACCCGGTATCAGGATATGGAAATGGATATGGATGTCACGACTACAATAAAATGAAATAATTTGTCTGTCTCCTGCACGCACTCTGCCCATGCCCTCATTGCTCGTCATGATGTGTTTCGGTTCATAATGATAATTTTGGGGGAGTGGCTTTGGAGGGAGGCTGACAGTGTTGCTGACTCTCGCTAGATTTTGCGACTTTTGGAGTAAGTGTTGCGAGCTGCAGTTGTCAATGCTGGGCTAGATTTTTGGGTTGGATTTTAAAAATAAAATATCCACCTCACTCTTGCTGGTTTCACAACTGCCTGTAATAAATACAGCTACACCTTCTGTATATGTCACTGATAATGTCTCTGTATACATCTTAGGCTGTGGAGTGACTTGGAAACAAAAGAAGTAAAGTGAAGGCATGGAAGTGTTAGACGAACTGTTTTAGTTTGTTTGTTATACAGAACCCTCTCTATAGTTTTGCCAGATATTTAAGTAACTATAGTGTTTGCACGCAGATGGCAACGGGCTTTTTTAAGAATCATGGAGCGGACCAGAGAGCAGTCAGCAGCTGTCTCTGTGCTTCCTGCTTGTTCAGACTCTGGGATTTATCATTGCTTCTACCCATATCATTGGA